CCCTGTTTGACACCCATTTTGTTTGAAAAATAATTTTTGGAATAGTGATTGATGGAAGATTATGTGGTTAAAAAGTAAAGAGAATTTTTTGGTTTATGTGTAATATTATTTTATTAATAAAATGTGTGGTTGAAATGAAAAAGAGAAATATATTGAGAAAAAAAAGGGTGTCAGACAGGGGCTTAATTGATGAGCAAAATTGTCAAAACAAGTTAGAAAAAAATATTTATCTTCTTCAAATCCTTCAATTTTTTTACAATCATCACATTCTCATCATCGAAACTATCCGATCAGATAACAATTCGATCCGATTTGTTGTAATAATCAAATCGATAAATTATTTTTATGACATGTTATTTGGACGGAATGCGTGAAATGGACAAACGCTGCAATTACGTATAAAGGTATGGGACTTCGGCCTCAAAAATGAAAGGTTTCGGTGTAATTTGCAACAAAATAAAATGTTTGGGATCAGAGCTGCAAATTTTTCTAGTCAAAATTACTGTTTGAACGTTGACTAACGGTTCTATGGACGGAATTCAAGATTTGGGACCGACGCTGCAATTACATACAAAGGTTTGGGACTTCGGCTGCAAAAATTAAAGATTGGGGACCGAAGATGCAATTACATATAAAGGTTTGGAACTTTGGCCAAAAAAATTAAAGGTTTGGGTGTAATCTGCAACAAAATGAAAGATTTGGGACCGCGGCCGCAATTTTCCCGATATTTTATCTACTTGTCGGTCTCCATCTTTTTTACCATTCCTTCCTAAGTTAATATGAAACAAACACTTGACTACAATCTTTTTACCTTGCCTGTGTATAATCTTAACTCGACTTCTGGTGTGACAATTGCTAAATTACGGGTTAATAAAATTCAATAATTAGATTTGTTTTTCGTGCAAATAATTATGGAGAGAAACGCGTATCCTATTTTGATCAAGAGTTCGAACAATTTAGAGATCAAAAGATTGTGTTGAGTAATGAAAGAGCATCGGTGCAAATACAACAAAGACGTCTGTCTAGATAAAAGTGCAATCTTGTTATATGTACATTAACTTTGATATCGTTAATAACATTCTTGTGAATTTATAGTTTTTATACGTTGGTTTTAACAAACGATCAGTAGCACAAATTTTGACAACAACTCACACAATGTCAACGACAACATCAACTAAAAATGTACATCTGGATTAATTCATAAAGGTAATATAAGATTGAAAGATGGTATTAAGGGTCGAGGAACAAGATAATATAGCTCATATTTGGTATGAATTAAAATTTATATTTTAATCTAAATCAAATCTAACAATTAATTTTAATCACGCATTTCATAAGATTTATAACTTTTCAATCACATATTTTATCAACTTTTATAAAAATTTATTAAAAATCTGATTTTAATTCTCACCAAACAAGGTATAAAGAGGATAAAAAATGTATTAATCCAATCAAATTATTCTTTCAAAAAAAAAAAAGAATAAAATAATGAAGTAATGTTTGAATTTCCTTCTCCAACTTGTCCAAATTTATTGAGCATTACTTCGGGCCACTCACAAAGGGTGGGCCCGCCCTATTTATTTTTTTTAATACTTGTGGGGCCCGCCCCTTTGTGCAAATTTCTTTAATAGCAGAAACGGTCTAAACGGGCCGTTATTCTCGTAATGCGACTCTGTTTTCCCTTCTTTACCATTCCGTCAAATCTAATGGCTGAGGACACAGTATAGCTATACAATCTCGCTCATATTTTATGCAATTGCAGAAAAAAATTGAAAACAATTGATAGTAAATATGTGGAGGATTCCGTTAAATCTGTTAAAACGGGGGATTAAGCCAGCGACTTGCGCTAAGCCGAGCTTTAGGCTGATTCCACCGCCCGGTTTGATGGGCCCACCGTCTTATTGCAGCTCCTCCGTTAACAGAGGCGCCGGCAATTGCGAAAGTAATAATGGGAACGGAAATGGGAATGAGATGACTTATGCGGAGGCGAAGAGGCTGATGAGGCTGGTGAACGTGGAGGCTTTGAAGGAGAAACTGGGTGTGGAGGAGAAGGAGGTGATTGGGTATTCTGAGCTTTTACAGGCCTGTAAGAGTATAGGCGTCGCCAAGTCCGCCGTGGAAGCCGCCGCCTTTGCTCGAGTTCTTGATGAGGCCGGCGTCGTTTTTCTCTTCCGGGACAAAGTGTATCTACACCCTGATAAGGTTAACTAATTATATCTATAATATATATGTGTGTGTTTATTGTGTGTTTTGATACAGCTTTAGAAAAAAGGTTGTGGTTCCAAAAGGGATTCTTGGGATATGTATAAAACTGCTTTACTTGTGGGGTTGAGGAAGATAAAAAGATTTATTATGTTCCCATAAGAAAAAGGGTTATTGAATAATACAAAAAGATGATGGAGAAACCACTGTAGCTAAACAATCTGTTTGATATGAAACTAACTCCAACAGTTGGGGTCGAATCATGTTAAATTCTTGGATTTCGAATGAAATGTAAAAGTACAGAGTTGTGTTTCTTTACCATTATCTCTTAAGTTGGGGGGTTTTTGAAGAAAAGAACATAGACAGTTTAGACTGTTCATGAAAGCGTCGTGGATTTCTCGTATAGTTGTGTTTCTTGTGTCATCAATTGTCCGGTTCCTTGGCTCGCTAGCTTGTTGAAATAGTGGTTTAAGTGAAATGGAATTCGAAACTTGATTTCGGTTGGATAAAAAATCCCATATATTGAGTTCTATATCCATTAATTTTATGGTTTGAAATATGGGATTCGATTCATAACGATCTATAACTTTTTGCTATACAAAACAGGTTGAAAGAGAGTTAGATCGCCATAGACTAATGTCTAGTTTGTCGATTAGGAATTTGAGTTTGAAATCATCCTAAATTAAATTTGGTTTAGATGTTAAGATTTCCGATTCTGTGCTGCCAAACTTATCAAGCTCAGATTTCCTTTTTGTTTGTCTGCTTTTTGCTTTCAGTTCTCTGTATCATGCATTTGCTGATGATATGATATTGTTTGCATTAATGAAGCACTTAGAACAATATCAGAAGCTTTACCATGTACTCTCTTGTAGTCGAAGTATGTAATTTCTTGTCGGTTTTCTTGTTCAGGTGGTTGATCTTGTTAGAGGGGCAGTTCCCCTTGTCCTTTTACCGGAAGATGATCCAAGCAAGGACGAGCAGTTCTAACCATTTTGAAACTAAAATGTAGGGAGAGAGAGATGCGATTGAAAATGGTTGAGAAACAAAGAGGTGTGAGTTATGTGGTAGGGAGAGAGAGACGCGAGGGTTTGTATTGTATAGAGAGAGGGTTTGCTGTTTCGATTTGGGTATTGTAGAGACTGGAGAGAGAGAGAGAGACGCGAGGTTTGAACGATGGAGAGACGTAAACGGTGCAGATTAAATCTCATAAATGAACGGTTGGCATAATAAGTTTTTTTATTAATTTATAAATACCTAATACCACCTGAATTTTGAATTGTAAACTTTATGCACTTATTTTTGAATTGTAATTTTAAAAAGTAGGATATTAGATAATTTTCTCTTTTTTTAAGGTACATAGCATGGTCCATAATGCGAGAGGGTAGCTCTCGCATTATGTACAAACATATGGATATTGCCATGTACACGTATCCTTTTTTCTTAATACTTGTGGGGCCCGCCCCTTTGGCAAATTTCTTTCATAGCAGAAACGATCTAAACGGACCGTTATTCTTGTAATGCTACTATGTTTTCCCTTCTTTACCATTCCGTCAAATCTAATGGCTGAAGACACAGTATAGCTATACAAACTCGCTCATATTTTATGTAATTGCAGAAAAAAATTGAAAACAATTGATAGTAAATATGTGGAGGATTTCGTTTAATCTGTTGAAACAGGGGATTAACCCAGCGACTCGCGCTAAGCCGAGCTTTAGGCTGATTCCACCCCCCGGATTAATGGCCCCACCGTCTTATTGCAGCTCCTCCGTTAACGGAGGCGCCGGAAGTTGCGACAGTAATAATGGGAATGGGATGACTTATGCGGAGGCGAAGAGGCTGATGAGGCTGGTGAACGTGGAGGCTTTGAAGGAGAAACTGGGTGTGGAGGAGAAGGAGGTGATTGGGTATTCTGAGCTTTTACACGCCTGTGAGAGTATAGGCGTCGCCAAGTCCGCCGTGGAGGCCGCCGCCTTTGCTCGAGTTCTTGATGAGGCCGGCGTCGTTTTTCTCTTCCGGGACAAAGTGTATCTACACCCTGATAAGGTTAACTAATTATATTTATACTATATCTGTGTGTGTTTAGTGTGTGTTTTGATACAGCTTTGGGATTTGATTTAGAAAAAAAGTTGTGGTTCCAAAAGGGATTCTTGGGGTATGTATAAAACTGCTTTATTGGTGAGGTTGAGGAAGATAAAAAGATTTATTCTGTTCCCATAAGAAAAAGGGTTATTGAATATTACAAAAAGATCATGGAGAAAACACTGTAGCTAAACAGTCTGTTTGATATGAAACTAACTCCAACAGTTGGGGTCGAATCATGTTAAATTCTTGGATTTCGAATGAAATGTAAAAGTACAGAGTTGTGTTTCTTTACCATTACCTCTTAAGTTGGGGGGTTTTGAAGAAAAGAACATAGACAGTTTAGACTGTTCATGAAAGTGTCGTGGATTTCTCGTATAGTAGTGTTTCTTGTGTCCTCAATTGTCCGGTTCCTTGGCTCGCTAGCTTGTTGAAATAGTGGTTTAAGTGAAATGGAATTCGAAACTTGATTTCAATTGGATCATAAATCCCATATATTGAGTTCTATATCCATTAATTTTATGGTTTGAAATATGGGATTTGATTTATAATGATCTATAACTTTTTGCCATACGAAACAGGTTGAAAGAGAGTTAGATCGCCATAGACTAATGTCTAGTTTGTCGAATAGGAATTTGAGTTTGAAATCATCCTAATTAAATTTGGTTTAGATGTTAAGATTTCTGATTCTGTGCTGCCAAACTTAGCAAGCTCAGATTTCCTTTTTGTTTCTGTCAGCTTTTGCTTTCGGTTCTTTGTATCATGCATTTGCTGATGATATGATATTGTTTGCATTAATGAAGCATTTAGAACAATATTGGAAGCTTTACAATGTTCTCTCTTGTAGTCAAAGTACGTAATTTCTTGTCGGTTTTCTTGTTCAGGTGGTTGATCTTGTTAGAGGGGCAGTTCCCCTTCTCCTTTTACCTGAAGATGATCCAAGCAAGGACGAGCTTAAGAAGTTGCAAGAAAAGAAGGAAGAAATCGACATGCTAGCTCACAAGCAAGTACGTCGCATTTTGTGGACTGGACTTGGACTTTCTCTGGTACAAGTCGGGCTTTTCTTTCGTCTAACTTTTTGGGAATTTTCTTGGGATGTTATGGAGCCCATCACATTTTTCACAACCACAACTGGAATAGTCATAGGCTATGCTTACTTCTTATTCACTTCGAGAGATCCTTCTTACCAAGACTTCCTAAAGAGGCTATTCCTGTCTAGGCAAAAGAAACTCATCAAGAAACATAATTTTGATATTCAGAGGTTTGTGGAACTGCAAAAGAAATGCAAATTATCTCCAGAGACTTATACCTCCTTCAAAAGGCGGGTAGGGGTAGAAGTGGATCCGGAGGATCTTTTACATGACCATTGACCTAACTTTTGATTACATTTTGTTTCACAACTAAACCGAAAGCTCCTATTTTCTGTGAGCAAAGAGAATTTATGTCGAAGTTGTTATGGCATCTAGGCCGGCTTTTGACTTTGAAGGTTAGATTTTCGACTAACTTCTTTCTGCTAGAGAGAACTCGGAAAGGAGTACTGCTGACACTGGTAATTTGCTCAAGCTTCTAACCCTTGGCAGTCACGTATAATTTTGTATTTCATAGTTTTTTAATCATAATATGGGCTCTGTTAGCGTCCTTGTGGCATTCTTCATAAAAGCTCATTAGATGTAGAATTAAACCATGCAAGTGTCCTTAACTTCGAGCTTTCTAGCTTGCCATCTTTTCAATATGTGAACTAAACTTATAGTGAAAGATATGGCTGGTTGATTTTACACTTGAGTCGAGCTCAAAACTTGTTAACGCTTGCTCAACTCCTTAGGTTCCATTCGAGATATATGTGTATTATATGCAAACCCAGAAAGCTAAGTCACATGACATTCATTCTCCATCACTGCCATTTCTTTAGTGTATACGCTAAGCAATTTCCAACAGGAGCAAATTTCAGACTTGGAATAAAATAGAGAGTTTATATATATCGAGTTGTTGTTTACAGAAGATGTCTCGTCCATCCAACGCGTTACATAAGTCTGTACAGATTGTTCTTTCTAAAAATTAAAAACTCACCCTCCAGATTATTTAGCAGATCAACTATAGCCTGTTCCTTTGATCCACTGAAGTGTTCCAAGAGATCAGATAGTGAAACCTGTACATTTTTGCCATTACCTTCTCGAGCTAGAATATAATAATGCTGTTATTACGATATATTGGTTGTAGAGGTTCAACACTTACCCCATCATCAAAATTCTCAAGCCAGCGTAATATGGAACTTTCCGAGGCCTCAACCGTAGTGGATTGTTCGACTTGTGGCCCATCGACTTTTTGGCGTTTCCAAGATTTCGGTGAACCATCAGTACCAAATAGTGGCTGTTCTGCATTTTCACTCCCAACGAGATCAGAAATTGCAGCTTCAGATTTCCCCGGTGAACTACCACCATTTACATTGTCAACAAGTGATTTACGATTGGGTCGACCCTCTACTCCGCCACTGTGATGATGGCCGGATGATATACCTTCAACCGATATTCCCATCTCTTGCACCAGCAAGCAGGCCTTGATCTGGCTATAAGTTACCTAGTTTTATGAACAACAGAATTATCAAATATCATCACAACACATGGAATCTTAGTTCATTTCATTCCTTATATCATAGGACGCACGACCCACAACTGTAGTATTCTACAAATTATGGTACGCATGACTGCATTTTAACTTATTTTTTTCTTTAATAGTAATGTTAATCCACCTTACTAAACATGCTATGAGAATGTCGATGCTTAATAAAAGTTTTAGTTCCGAATGCACCTCTATAAAATATTTAATCCATAAAGCTTACTTCTTCTGGTAATTCAGTTTTGATAGGCTTTAGCTTCTCTTTGCCGACTTTTGACACAACATCCTGAATATTCATAAATATCTGCTGCGTCAATCCAATCTCCTCACAGAATCTGGTCCAATCAATCGTGCATCCATCTCTTGCAGCTTCAAGAAGATACTCTATCACAGTTTGTTCTTTTATTGGAGCTGCTCGACCGGGGAAATTCTACAAAGCAGAAAGTAAAACAGAAGTCCACGCTAAAATCTAGGCATAACTTAATTACAAGCAACTGTATCAACACATACGGCAATTTTATGGAATGTAAGGCCATCTTCTTGCCACATTCTCCAAGCTTCAAACTTTGCCGGCAATAATCTCTTGTTGTTCAGTACAGTGGAAACCTTTCTTGGCGTAGGAGTTTGCGTATTTGGCTCCCCATCCAAAGCAAGATTCAATTCTTTTGATAGATGCTGAATGCTTTGTAGCAAACAATCTCCATGTGTAATTAGAAAGTGCTACGACACATTATCAAAGCTTCCAAATCAGATATAATTCGCATACAAACACGCGACCAGATAAAAAAAGATACCATTTGATCAAGAGTCTTAATCTGATGCGTTCCCTTCTATTTTTATCTCAAGTTGCAGTTATGTCTTAAAAACAATTGTTTCTATCAGTCAATTTTAAAGCTATAACAAGTAAATATTGCAACAAATATTTGAGCAAATATACCCAACACAAAAATGTTTGTGGATAAATCCTATACGTCCAACAAGAAGAGAATGAAGAAGATGCTAACGAGTTTCTATGGCTAATTTAGAAATTAAATCAAGCCTAACAGCAGCCCTCTAACCAATCTGATCCTGAAACCCAACCATCATTTGTAAAATTTGAAAGAACTTCGAGATTATTCTGTTTAGAATGAAGGTTCTGGCACTGATAGCAAACTATGTAATTTTCTTGTTTCTTCTAAGTTTGAAGATGATGCATTATTGCAAGAACAATATGGAGTCATCTTACTATGACTTCACATTAGTTCAAAGGAGAAAGGTGAACATCTTCCAACAAATCTGAGTGAGGTAAGTGGTAACTCATATCAGAGATGCTGTCAAACTTCAATTTCAATTCAATTATAATTTTTCTTCATATAGAGACAAGATATTATGTTTCTCTCCATCACATGCTTCGATACTTGGGCATATTACTAACATCCAATAATGGAACATGCCATGTACCTAAAAAACTGGCCCTAAAATTAAAAATTAAAACTCTTCCTCTCTAGGATTCTATGTATAAGAGGGCTAGAACAACACAAACATTTGTAATATCCAAATGTGATAATTGTATACAGAGAAAATGCAAAATGTAGTAGAAATAGGAATAAACCCTACTGGACCATTGAATTGAAATGTACAGGTGAGCAAATTACAGGCATATGCAAGATCCCATCAAGCTAAATTAGATTGGACCAAGAAACATGGCCATTAAGGTATACCTGGTTCACACCATCTATATTTGCTAGCCTTGCTCGAGTTGATGGCCTTGTCAATGCTATCCTTTTTAATGTTTGATCACCGCATATTGCATATCTGCATGCTAAAACAGATCAATAGACAGCCTCGCATTTCCTCAAAAGTACAGTTGTATAGTGTAATCATACAGGCGGCTTGCCATTATAATATACTCCTGTCAACATACTATCGTCCCAGGTTGACTACATTTTGAGGTGAAATAATCTTGCTACTCTTAAATCTAAGAAATAACACCTGACAATTAGTATGCCAAATACTGTGTTAACAAATTTTCAAGGATTCATCTCTGATAAATATCATGTCAAGATTAATTGAACTTCACAAAGGGGGTGCAATTGACCCAAAAAGACCAATATGATAAAGTATTATGTGACACAGGGAGTAGCAGCTCAAGAACAATGAGAAAAGACTCACGGAGCAGTTCCAAATTTTTTTGCTATCTTCATTCTCTCCTCTATGAGCATTTTATAGAACTGTGCCTCTTCCTGAACTTGTACATGACAGAGAAGAGCATAAAGTCAAATCATTGCAGGTTCTGGTCAAAGTTAAATTGTTGAAGATGACAAAAGAAGCATCTGAAGGTAAAACTTTAAATAGAAATGCACAGCATCAAAGAAAAAAAAGATACAGGGAGTGATAGGCAAATATGAAAGGGTAAAATTTGTTGTACTACTGAAAATCACATGCAAAAGATGCTAAGGATGGTAGAAAAGCTCACCTGGGACAATCCCTCGAATTTAAGAGGAGCCAAACCAGCAACTCCAGCCTCACCAACTATATCTGTGCCTTTCATATCACCCACCATTTCTGAAGTCGATGGAAGATATAATGGAGGCTGATGATCAGGAGTGCAAGAATTCAAAAAGTCCACTCCTTTTGGTCCGACACTGAAGCATGAAAGGAAAATCACAATTCAATTTTCATTTACAGTAGAATCTTATTATATTGGCTGCAAAAGAAAACGTCCAATATTGATATTTTATTATCATTCACTAAAAGCATAGTTCTGATTTACGCAAATTCATACTTAGTATCCTGCAGCAAATAAATCTAGAAAGACAACTGTAAGGAAAATTCACATCCTGTAAATCTTGCATATCCTTATATGAGATGACACAATTTATCTCTTACAAATATTCACTTTCTGATATTTTGGACAAACATGAGCTTTTTCGTACCAATTGTTCATGAAGAGACAACTAATGAACGTGAACAAACATTTTGATCTCATCACAAGCATCAATGAGTAGACTTGCCATGTGAAAGTCTACGTTTGTCAAGTTTATTGCAGGCACTAAAATGATGGCAGATTATAGGCTGATAAGGAAAATTGAGGAGGTTATACGAGAGAAAGGTCTGACACCTGATCTTGTATCCCACATTGGTGAATTACAAAAAACATGAACTTACAAGTTAGCTTTATTGCTCATGACCAACAGTGGTACCACTTATGGGCAATGGATTTTAGGCTTAATTGCATGTTGCACTCAACGGGATTGGAGCGCGCTACCAAGTACAACAGATCATGGGTACCGGGAGTGACAAATAATGTACAACAAGATGCCGGCCAGAAGTATTATGAGAGAGAAAGTGCTTTGCTACATGCAACAATGATGTTGCATCCTTATGGAGAGCGTGATTTCAACTTGAACATAACAGGGATTACAGAAATTATGAGCAACTTATAAGCTTATGCAAAGAGTTCAAATCCTTCCATTTAGTACAACTTCTTGGATTTGGATTTAGGCCATACTGCAGGTTGCAAGCAGTGGGCTTGGAGGCTACTATCAAGTCAAATGGGCTCCCGGATGATGAGTGACAGGATGGGAGTGTGTGAGACAGCGAACATATATTTTTACAGCTCAAAACTCATAAACTAATCGGAGAAAGAAATCTACCTTACAGTTTTGTACACATCTTTGAAGGTCTCAACCAAATAATCTGCACACAACACAAATTAGCTATTAACTGTCCAAAATTATAATTTGAAATTATGCAAAAGAAAGAAGTAATCTACAATCATGACATCTGGAAGAACACCCAAATAAAATTACTCTATCAATAGAATCAAAGAAATCGAGAAGGAAACAGTAATCCAACGTCACTGCTTCCTGACTGCACCCAAGTACAGAGCATAATAGAAGGATAAGACACATGACTAGTGCAAATTCCCTTCCTTAAAGTAGGCATTATAATTTAGAGGATCTGTGTATTCCTTTCTTTTAGAAGCAACAGGTTCTTAGGTTTGGTTTGGCATCATACACGCAATATTTCAGTTGTGCAGTTCAGCTGCAGGTCCAACATAATAGAGCAAGCTGCTGATATTTTCAGTGAGAGGTTAGAGAGGAATTAGAAAAGCTAAAGTTTCAATGCAATGTTTTGTGATCAAATAACATCAGTTAAGTGCACCAAATATTTATAAAAACAAAATTCTTTCTTCAGCAATGTCTGTAAATATCAATACCCACTAAATATTCCTTGGTCTCCATTGATTTTGTCTATACTCCGAAATTGAAAGGGCTAACAACTGAATTTACTCTCAGACTATATCAAGATCGCTTTTTTTTCACTTCCAAAGGGTTGTGATTTAGCATAATGTTCAAGCTATTTAAAATATTGTGGGTCTTTCTATTGGAATTCATATTTGCTAAACCTCAGTGACCTGAATTATAACAATACAAGCATTCATCAACAGTACAATATGGTTCTTCTGATTGATCCCTCATTGGCTGCAAGATGGTATTCACTTCACTCCTTCCTTCTTAGTAAAGTAAAACATCAACAAACACAGATCCGATATACAAAAAGAGTACTCCCACATACCACGTGAAATCAACTGATCAGCTAGAGCCTTCCACCAATTTGCTGGCATCTCTTTTCCGAGGCCGTGGAATGGAAGCTTATCAAACTGAGCATCAAGAATTTTCTTGGACTGTGACCAAATAAAAGGCGCTAGTGTAAATTTGCTATGACTAAACCACAAGATCAATTAATAGATTAAATAGTACACTTAACGAGGGTATTAGCTCCATTTTCCACAGTCGTCAAAATTTAGAATGCAATACCAAAGCCACTTGTTCAGAACAAAGAAACTCAATTCATCATTTCTAACGAAAATTTGTTACCATTATCTAATTACCCTTCAACCTTGGATCCCATACATACCATGGAAGAATATCTATATACCATTAATTATCAAACGAAAGCTTACTCGAGATCCACGAAGAACATCTACTGGCAGATTGAGACCCCAGTGACCTCCACATGCTTTAATGCAAGCCATTAAAAGAAATGCCTCTCGAGACATATCATTCTCATTCTTTGAGCTAGTGCAATTATCACAAGTTCCTGCACGCATCACACATCCAGTTACTTCTACTATCAAGGTAATTCAAAAGATCATTTCTGGAATAATGTGACTCTAAAATTATAGCCAAAATTAACTATATAGAACCTTAAAAAACCAAGGTCAAAAGACCAAAATTTCTTGCCTAATTTTTTCCTCTTCCTTCCACGTGTCTATTTAGGGTCACAAAAGTGAAGCATAAAAAGAATTATTGTTGACTAAAAAACAAAAGCTTTAAACAACATATTTCCCAGTGCAATTATCACAAGTTCCTGCACGCATCACACATCCAGTTACTTCTACTATCAAGGTAATTCAAAAGATCATTTCTGGAATAATGTGACTCTAAAATTATAGCCAAAATTAACTATATAGAACCTTAAAAAACTAAGGTCAAAAGACCAAAATTTCTTGCCTAATTTTTTCCTCTTCCTTCCACGTGTCTATTTAGGGTCACAAAAGTGAAGCATAAAAAGAATTATTGTTGACTAAAAAACAAAAGCTTTAAACAACATATTTCCCCATGATAACTTCAGATAGGAAGAAAGATAATCTCAATATGTTAGTGCCTGAAAATAGATTTTCTGGACCAACTTAACATGAAATGAAGGCAACCGGATGAAAGCAATGGCCAAAGCTTTGACTCAATGGCTGAATGCAAAGCAATCAACCCGGAGACAAGCCAAAACACGTGGGTCTTGCTGCTTCTATAACTTCTAATCCTAAAAGTGGGGACCATAAAATATAAAAGCTTGAAGAGAAAGTTCTACTGTCTCCATAAGAAATGTCATTACATGTATACAAATATGAAATTTCCACTTGGTTAAATGTTAATGGGCAGGATGTAAGAATGCACTGAGATACTATTTGGCCAAAAGGGAACAAAACTTTGCCTATTAAATGGAATGAATATAGATACCAAAAATGAACTATACTCCACCCAATCATGTACATCCACATTTACAATGTATTACTATCTCTATGCCTTCATTGTTATCTTTTCTCATCCCTTCCTAATGATATCCCATGCGTTCTTTATTTGCATTCTCGTATATTTTGTTTTCTCATCTCATTCTCGGTCACTACTAAGCTGTACTGAGCCTTGCGCTAATTAAAATAAATGCAATATGCCTCGTCCCACTCTATCTTATCATCATCGTCCATGATTTAAATTTTAATTGCACCATTGTCATGCTTCCTCAGTCAATCATAGCTCTGGCATTTTCTTACTGCACTTGACAATTTAAAGGTCAAATGTTACCCATACCACAATTGACAGAGCAGTATTTCTCTCCAAAGTACTCCAGAAGATACTTTCTTCTACAAGTTGTCAGCATACAATAGCGTTGTGCTGCCATGAATGACTCCATAATTGCTTTTCTTTGCTCTGCCTGGTTGATCATACATTTACCAGACATTTAAGCAATATTGAAACAATCTAAAGAGATTAATAAATACTGGGAACTACTACATAAAATATTTAATACGAAATCTAAGAAATTCAGCAACAGAAAAAAAATACTGTGCGTGCTTCTGAACAGTAAAAATCAGCTTTCCCAAAGTCGCTTCTTGCATAATACAGCCAGCAGGTTGAAGGAATGCCATCTCTACCACATCGTGGTGAAAGGACCATTATACTAAGGTGACTCTTTGGGCAGCCATAGTGTATAACATGTCTAATGTTAGGCTTGTCGATGCCCATGCCAAATGCTATAGTTGCAACCATGACATAAAATTCATCTCTGATGAATGCCCTGAAATGCATCAAAATTTCAGTTGCCAGAGTGACCAGGTATACAGTAATTGCACCAAGAATAATGAAGGGTGCACACCATTTTATATCCTTTGACAAAACGTACTAAGCCCTAGCTTGGTTTAGATAAAAATAAGATTTTTAGTAGATTCCCACAAAAGTTTGTGAATGTATGGTTGAAAAATTGATAAAAGTTGTGGGTCTCAAAATGTGTAGTTAAAATTAATTGTTGACTTTGTCTTAGATTTTTATCAACTTTTTTACCTAAACCAAACATTGACTAAATTCAAGTACAAGTATTCAGGGAAAAATTAAAAAAGATAAAAGCTAGTGAGAATTGAAACCTATGAGACTCCTCACGTGCTTTATTGGACATTTGACCATGGTATATTCCAGCCTCAATTCCATCCTCGAGAAGGAACTTGAAAATCTAAAGAATCATTATTTGAATAACTAAAGTCAGAACATCTTATCATGAAAACATGTTTTTCCGCATCATCTTTCTAGAAGACCATGACATATATGAAATGATTGGCATTTAGGTAAACGTCCACGCGCATGTTTACACACAAATCTAGAGCGAATAACCTGTTCAGCATCTTTGACAGTTGTACAGTATACTATAGTTGAACTTCTGCTGTTTGTGTATTTAGAAATCTCCTTCACAAGCTCATCCACAAAAGCTGAACTGCGATCGGAATATTTGACGCCGTAGAAGAGATTTTGACGGTCAAATGAACCAATAGTTACGTAAGGAGTTTTCATCTTCAGTGAATTTATAATGTCAACGCGAACCCTGCAAAAAACAAAATCTCTTTATAGGTTCTACAAGACTGGATTTAAATAAAAGTAAAACATTAGTGAAAAAGAAAATCTGAGCTGATAGATAATTGGACAAATTAAAACTAGGACAGGAAAGATGATTCACAATTTACGAATTTACGCTGACTTCTGAACTGGACCAGTTTAAAATAAGGATAGAAAAATAACATCGGGAACATATGATAGATGAAAAGGACCAAAAATAGTTGGCAATATCTGAGAACTACCTGAACTAGAAAATACTGTCACTATTATGTTATTCTGAGCCCATAACATGAGATAATTGAGACCGATGAAAAGTTTTACGTGCAGTGAAATATCAATTAATGTTGTGGATTTTCTACAGATAAAGATTCTGTAAAACTAAATGGCCAGAATTTTACTTAAAATACATAGTTCGCTGCCTCCATCAACTAATGACCAATTCTTTACCAGGTATAATGCTATGGGCAACCAGAACATACAATATGGAAAAACAATATCAAAATGGCAAAACCTACTTTTCAGTAGCAGTTGCCGTTAAGCCAACAAATGGAACATTTGGAAGTACATCCCGCAGCCTACCTAATTGTTTATACTCAACCCTGCAAAAGAAATGGAAACTTAGAATGATTATAGGAGAAACATAGAGAAAATTATAAGACTAGTAAGAACAATCAACAAGAGAGTGGTGGCAGCAGAAAGTGGCATAGACATGAAAAACACATTTCTCTAGAATTAAAGCGTCATTTGATGAATCCAACTCATGGAGCTAAAAATGAAGGGCAGTCAGATCTTCGTTGAGCCTTCATTAGAGAATTAGAAACTAACTTTTGGTAGTGAGATCTATAATTTATTACGAGCATCAAGGTTCAATTGGAAATGATGGCAATCACTTGAAGATTTTTGTGGGATAAAACCAAAGTCTTGTAAGATATTTGAACCCATTCTGATGGTATCTCAAGCAACCAGCTTGATTTCCATTCAGTCCTTCAGTTCATATTCCCATATTTCCTTTCCTTGTAAGTCAAGTGGAGCAACAGTGTCACTGGTAAATGTGAACAATGTGCAAATTGATAACACTCGAATAGATGTTCATTCTGTAAGAATTGACAAGTGACAGATACAGTCATTACATGCTAGATCCACACTGTCAATCTTTATTCAGCATCGATGGAATCATTGTTCATGACCCATGATTCTATGTTATCATCACTACAGATCCCATTCATATATTTCATAATGATCATTAATGAATAAAAGCTCATGTGATGAACGTCTTGGATACACAAGAAATCTCATTCATTAAACGAACATAAAAACAACAGTAGCATCATGCAGCCATGTGTCATTGAACCAAAAATGGTTTCTCAAGGCCCCAATCCAGTCTTCAATGCACGGCCAGTGCAAACGTATAATTACTCTGGTTTTGATTTCAAATCAATTAAAACTCAAGTTTCAACCTTTTTTTCTTCACATCATGGTGTCTTTGCAGTAATCAAGCCAAATGGCTCTAAATATTAAGATTGAATAGTACCTAGCAATATGGTCCCTTCTTGACTGGACTTTAGTACTGGGGTGAGACTTTACGTTACACGAAGTAGTTGTCGGTCCTCTGTATAAGGACTTTAATCGTCAGACCTGGTCTTTGACGTCATTGTGAAATATCACTCAGGAGAATAAATTTATCACAATTAAATGGAAGATTGTAAAATTAATTGACACTCCAAACACTAGTCGTAAATAAGGAAAAAAGGAAGAGATGAAGTTTGGGAATTTTACTGTCACCATCATCATTTGCAACTATAATATAAGTATATAACATGCAAAAAACGTCACAGGCAGAAATTGTGATTACTGCAGAGATGGTAAAACAAATTAACCAAGCTGAGGTCTTTTCAGCTTACCTGGTTGTAAGAACACAGGCCTTCTCTGGAGTCATGTACAATATATCATACTGGCCACTTTCAGCATTACCGTGTACACTACGGTTAGTCTGAGCACTCGAGAGGTACTCAGCTCTTATACCTCTTTGCTTCAATGCCATTACCTAAACATTATAACAAGTAGTTATAATTTTTTTTTTAAAAAAAGTAATAGTAGATATGATTAAGATTCACCCACTCAACGTGTTCGAATAAATACTGAGAAGATAAAAAACAAACCTGATCTTGCATCAAAGAAATAAGAGGGCTTATGACTACAGTGGTCTTTTTGGCAACCAACGGTGGCACCTGATAGCTTAGTTATTTATTCAAAAAAAATGTTAATCAGGAGCATATTTTCTTGATCAAGTAAGTGTATTAAGACATTATGCACAAAACAGTAATAAAATTGAAGCTTACCACAAGGACTTGCCACTGCCAGTGGCCATAACCACCAAGGAATCTTTTCCATCTAAAATGTTCTCCACAATTTCTTTCTGGTAGGGGCGAAATTTTGAAAACCCAAAATACTTCTGTACTAAAAAACGATAAAAACGTTAAAAACCTTCAAGAAAAAACAAAATGAGAAGAAATTTAAAGGTAAAAATGGAGAGAGAAAGTAAACCTTGAGGACTGACTCCATTTCTTCGTTTGATTATCGGGTTGGATGATGGATCCGGGGAGAAGGAGAAGAACAGTCGAATACTTTTTCAGGTAGAAATTGTGATTTTCCAATTGGAAATGCTGTAAATTAGAGGGATTCATGGATTAGTTTCCCGCCATACGATTTAGGTTTTAGCTCTATTTTACTCAAAATATATTTTTTTTTGTTTTCTTTTTATATCCAGTTTGATCCACATTTTTCAAAATACATTTTTTCAAAACTCATTTTCAACCACACATTCTTTAATAAAATAATATTTTTCATCGCGTCAACAACTTTTCATTACTTTTTAATCACATATTTCTCATCATATTACTATTTAAAATAGAGTAATGCTATTCATCCCCACTGGGGATGAATAACATTACTCTTTAAAATATATTCTTGTCTCAATAATATCCATGAAACACACCCTTAATTGAACATTCTACAATAAAATAATATTAATACTCTGTTTGACACATTCTTTAAAAATATATTCTTTCAAAACTCATTTTTAATCACACATTTTTCAATAAAATAATATTTTTAATTACTTCAATAATTTTTTTCTTACTTTTTAACCACATATTTCTCATCATATCACTATTTAAAATATATTATTTCATCAATAATATCCATCAAACACACCCTAAATATAAATTCAAAAATAATTCGTTCATTTTAAATTATACGTTCTTCAAAAAATTATTATTTTTAAAATATATTTTTTCCCAAAATTTGATTTTAATGTATCCCAAACAAAGGCCTATTATTATGTCCCTGTTTGGTGATAATTTTTTTTTAAAAGAAGAGTTTTGAATGGTGTTTTAGAAGAATGCATATTAAAATATAGAAAAAAAAATTAAATTTACGTAAAAAATATTTTATTGTGTGAATGTTGAATTGAAAATAATCCTATAGAAAAAAGAGATTGAAAAGAATGAAAATGAAATAGAGGCTATGTTGTTTATGCATCCATAACATTTTAAGTACAAATAAATATCACTTAAAAATTAATACAACTAAATGTTAAATTCTTGTTTGGTGGCCATTTTTTGGAAAAACGTCGTTTTGAGTAGTAAATTACAATTGAGGTATTAGTTTCTTCTCATATTAACATTCATGGCTTGTTTGGTAAATTATATCACACGACATAAAAGAATTTGTTCACTATTCTATCTAGTCATATCTAGTACAACACAACAAACATGCCACGTTGTTACATATTTTAGATGTCTCAGGACTCGTTTACACAAGTCATACAAGAGTACCAAACAAACTACATTGCATAAGATACAACATACGTAGTCTTCTACATCCAAAAGAAGAGCAACTAAATCCTGTGTAATTTTTCTGATCCTGTTCATCAAGAATAATTCCCCGTTCTGGTGAAAAACTAGAAATTATACATCCAAATCGGAATGTTAAAACACAACTTGATACAAAGCCTATGTGAAAAGCTTTCTGTAGTTAGCTGCCTCTTCAGCCATCTCTTCCATGTTTCTGTCCTTCCTTCCTTCGTCCAAATCAAGCTTTTGCCCAAGTTCCTTCTCCTTTTCATTAATCTGTGAAATGGATCAACAGAAGGAAGAATCCATTATTTCAGTTTAAAGTTAAGCCAACCTTCTCAAGGATTAAAGTGTCTTACAGCATCATAAATCTTATCGTTTTTCTCGAAATCGCCACTGTTGCGTGGTAGTATGTGAATGTGAACATGAGGAACGGTCTGTCCAGACTGAGGTCCATCCTACGGTATCACAAAATGTCAACAAATTTGGACTTCCAGGATCAAATGGAGTTAATCAAACAACAATACCAGCAATCAAATCAAATGTAGAAATTCTTAGGTAATGCTAAATTACAGGACTTCTCCAAGAACAGAAAATACAACAGAAGGGTTTTGTTTTCACGAAAAAAATTGCAGCATAAGCAAATCCCTTTTTTATAAAAAGATGTAATAATTAAAAAAGTCGATGCTCAGAATGCATATTGGGTAGGAGGAGGATCTTCTCTCTCTCTCTTTTCATTTTGTTGCTTTTATGAAGAACGATCTTATATGATTTTAAATTTCCAAGGACGAGTCCTTGTCTTGTATCAATAAACAAATACTAACTAGTGAAAATCCCTATAGTTTCAATCTAATGAGAAAGATGATGATATAATTGCGAAATTTTGTTTTAAAAACATACGTAGATGACCAAAAACAATGACACGATCAATTCAAGTTTCACAGAAGAAAAAGGGATTAGCTATAATAACAGCTTGATTTCATGCATCATTTATATATTGTTGTCAAATCTTTACCTTCCAAATAGTATTAAATTAGTCACAAATATAAGTTTTTATCGAGCAAAGGAAATTGCTCAATATCGTATGCATCTAAATCAAGCATTTTTTTTCTCTTTACCCTGCCTCCATATTAAGGTTAAATGGGACGGGGTAGGTCCCCTGCCCAATTTACCGCCCCATTTATTTATTTTATTTCTTTCACCTTTTTAATGTCTTTAGTTGCTGAAAATCATTACTTTTTTTTTTTCCAATTTCAAGAATAACTCATGTTTTCTCTGAAAAGGATGGTGATTCTTCTCTGTGATAAAAAAATTATATTTCGAAATGGACTTTCAAAGGGGTGGGTAACGAGGCGGATCATGTTCCCCATCCCTACCCTGTCTACCGATTAGGCGTGGATTTCCCACCCCATATCAAACAGCTTCAATAGCTAAATAATGAAGGCTGCAATGCACAAATAGGGGAATGAAGTGGTAAAACCTCAATAATTTTCTTTTCCCCCCAAAGAGAAAAGTAAGATGAGACAGGATATATTTTTATAAGAGATCAAAAGTGAAAAAGGTGATAATGAGGTTGGTTATCCCCTTTGGTTGCGTTTGACGTACCGGATTAGATCATATAAAGAATTTAGTATAAAATTATAATGGAATTACTAGGTAGGGGGTATTATGGTAGATTAATGTGAATAGTATTTTTTGATTTTCATTCAAAAGAATGTCAATCATTTACTATATCTTTTCTCATCCGGCCTAAAATCACCTTCAACCCTGCATTATGTTATATGGTTGATAATGCAAATGACTATCTTTTGAATGAAACGTTAAAGAATAATATCCACCATAAAACCATATACCTAGAACTATTCATTATAATTTTATACTAAATTCTTTATACAGCCTAATCATGTGCGCTAAACATAACTAATGTTTTAACATATTAGGCATCTTAAAGTATTTATTGTACGTCTAGGGGGATTATTAGAATTTTTTACTTTTTAACTATTAATTTTACACAATCTGAGAAACAATAACTGGACGGTGTTGACTTGTAAGAGTTCACCTTTTATTCTAGTGATTGTATCTTAAATCGAAATATTTGAAAAGGGAATAGGATTCCAAAACTACAGGAAGTAAATAGATTTTTATATATACTGTGGGCATAATCTTTTGCAATTAAGTCAATTACTATCTGCGTTGCTTACGAGTGTTTGATGGATTTTAATCCTTCATATGGTTCAAAAGTTAATCAAAACAAAGAATGTTCTCATCTCCGAAAAAGAATTGCTTGGCAATGAAAAGTAAAGTCAGAAAGAAAGAAAGCAAGAATTTACTTCTTTTTCTCCTCTCAATTACTTTATCTCATTTTACTTCACATTCAAAAGGCCCTTGCTAGCTTGCTCATAGGGACACTTAAAATTTCCAGTGGTGTATAATTAAATATTCAAAATTCATGAACCAGATAATACAAAGGGTTACCTTCAAATAATTTATGACATTGCACAAGGGGAAAGGGTGAGAGCATGTAACATTATGAAAGTCAAAATTTCAGATTTAGTGAACTTGTATAAGAGAACAGGAACAGTACAAATAAAGATTGGTTTAATTTGAAAATAAATGAAAAAACTTAATAATTTCTCTCCCGTATAGCATCACTCTTACTTGGATTGTAAATGTTAGTGAAGATGCCTTATGATAGGACTCAAGCTGCTGGCCAACCTTCTGAGCCGTAAGCCATATATCACTAGTCTCATCAGCAGAGAGATCAACAAAGCGTTTAACTTCACGCCTTGGGCAGATAAGCACGTGTAAGTTGTGTCAAGTTAACCAAAGAAGTCAAAATGCAAGAGTAGAGTGAGACTAACCAAAAGGCTTTCTTTTCTACCTCAATTTTCATTTTTCATTTTTTTTCCCTTTTATGAAAGTTGAATAAAAGCCTTAAAAAGGAAGATACTCAAGCCAATATGGTTTAACTTGTCTCCTTTAAAAGAGCTATGGTAGCATCTCCAAACAATTTCTATAGGAATACATGTACATATTATGGCATGATATTTTTCTTTCAAATAAACAAGCTTAGCTTAAACCTGTTAATTCATTAATAAGTAAATACACTTGCAAACTCCCAGTCACCAGTTAACAATATTAGAATGGCAGAATCAATCCCTTGCCAGGGGCTCAAGGCTTAAGGAATATCCATATAATTAATTCTAAATGCATGCAACTTATCATTATCAAGTGGGAACACAAGTAAGCATCAATTTGATTTCTTCTATTTAACCACATTAGCAGAGTTCCTTCTAGCTCACTATTACCTTTGTAACTCCATAAAAGAATATTTACGCTCGAGTCAATCATCACACACTATTAAAATGGAAAGACAAAAGGATATGACCTGCAAAGGAAAATTTCAAGATGTTAAAACCAAAAAGATACATGGGCGAGGCCGCATGCGTTAAGCATCAAATATCATCTCTTTTACTCAAAATAAAAAATGGACAGATAAGAATCCTAAAAGGAAACTTATACATGAGAGACAAGACATCACATTCTCCAGAAGAAATAATTTTTTTTTTTTAATTTCATCAAATACTTAATAAAATTATTAAGTGAAAATTTCAGTTAACAAGCTTATGCCATCATGATGCAGACGAAATCTTTCTTCATGAATCGTTTACATTTGCATAGCAAGTGAAAATTCTAATTCAGCAACAGCATAGAACAACAAAATGACCCCAACTGATGTGCTAATATGTTTTTGTTATACGTCTCTCTATGTTAAATAGAAGTTTCTCTTACCTTAATCCATTGTCTACTGGTATCACCTCAAAATTTCTACGCATATTCTAATTTCTCATTTAATTAACTGTGCATCCATATTAAAATCCTCCCAACATAGTGTATTAACTGAAAGACATGGAAGCCATATTAAGGTTTTCACTTCTTTTTGGGGGGAAAGGGGTAAAGAATCCTATTGATGTACAGACATCGAATTTCTGCATTCAGTTATTCAGTTGAATTACATTATTCTTCGAGTCAAGTCCCCGTGCATTGCACTGGTTATATCTATAAAACTATTCCAGAAATAGCATAAAAAAAAAAAAAAAACAAAACAAAACCCACTGAGGTGCTAACACACACACATGTATGGATTGAGAGAAATGGTCTCCTAAGTTCATGGTAGGTCTAGGAATTAAATGATCCACCAATTAATTGGTTTCTATATATATTTACATTCATGTAGCTCGATCACAAAAGAACCAAGTACTAGAAATGGGAATTACACACCAGGAACGACAGGCTTGAGATTGACCAGAGCATAAGAAAGTTGGGTAGAGTAAAACACTTGCTTTAAGTCAATCCTGTGGGGTCCAAACATATAGCTCTCCGAGTCCATCTGGGCATCAATTTTTTTTTCAATTAAAAAGTCAATAACATCCTTAATTACAGTATAACAACAACAGTATAGAAGTAATTATACATAACAAAGATATAGTTTGAGATATATTTTTCCTGAAAAAAGACTTGCCTTGGGAGATGTTCGAATGAATGAAGAGGAGGCTCTGGCAATGGAATGAAGCCTGTCTCTGGAGGGTTGAATACTGGGGTCAAGAAGCAACGGGGAGAAGACAGTAGCTCTTTAACATCAGTGCATCAAAGAGTCAACAAGCTGAAGTTTAAAAATAAGTAAAATTTATTTTTAAAATCAAAGAAAATCTTTGAAAAAATTTATAGAGAAAATTTATTTCTTTATTACATGAGCAGTTCAACGTGGGTGGTTCAATGTTTGAATTGTAAGCCATGATTGAACCACGTTAAAATTTTCATTTTTATTCTTCTACTCATTTTTAATCACATATTCTTCGATAAAATAATATTTTCTATCACATTAATAATTTTTTCTTATTTTTCAACCACACATTCTTCATCAATCTATTATTCCAAAATATATTAACGTGGCTCAAACACACCCTAAATTTTATCTAGCACCATGGGCACTTGTTTTGTCTAATATTATTTCCTTTATTAGAAAATTGAGTTATGGTTTGTGGCTTATATATCGAGAAAAAAAATAAGTAATTCGCATGAAGCTTGCTTCGATTGCTTTTATAGACCCAATTGTTCATATTTGGGTAGATTGTAACCTCGTTTTATTTCATCGAAAAACTTCGAATTTGTATATAATATTATTTCATCGAAAAATATATAATTGAAAAGATGAAAGAGAAAAATGCATTTCTTTAAAATGGAGACATACGGGTACTTAATATAGAAGACATCTTACAAAAATTTGTTGTCCAATTTTTACAATTCAATTTGTCGTTCATCCAATTAATTATTGATAAGTCATTTTTAAATTAACATGTCAACTCCAATTTATCCTCGTTAACTTTATCGTTAACACACTATATTGATGACATGTTAATTTAAAGTGACGTATCTATAATTAATGAGATGCATTATGTACAAAACTAACAGTGGTTTAGGGCATGTTTGTTTTTTNACAACAGTATAGAAGTAATTATACATAACAAAGATATAGTTTGAGATATATTTTTCCTGAAAAAAGACTTGCCTTGGGAGATGTTCGAATGAATGAAGAGGAGGCTCAGGAAATGGAATGAAGCCTGTCTCTGGAGGGTTGAATACTGGGGTCAAGAAGCAACGGGGAGAAGACAGTAGCTCTTTAACATCGGTGCATCAAAGAGTCAACAAGCTGAAGTTTAAAAATAAGTAAAATTTAATTTTAAAATCAAAGAAAATCTTTGAAAAAATTTATAGAGAAAATTTATTTCTTTATTACATGAGCAGTTCAACGTGGGTGGTTCAATGTTTGAATTGTATGGCATGATTGAACCACGTTAAAATTTTCATTTTTATTCTTCTATTCATTTTTAATCACATATTCTTCTATAAAATAATATTTTTTATCACATTAATAACTTTTTCTTATTTTTCAACCACACATTTTTCATCAATTTGTTATTCCAAAATATATTAACGTGGCTCAAACACACCCTAAATTTTATCTAGCACCATGGGCACTTGTTTTGTCTAATATTATTTCCTTTATTAGAAAATTGAGTTATGGTTTGTGGCTTATATATCGAGAAAAAAAATAAGTAATTCGCATGAAGCTTGCTTCGATTGCTTTTATAGACCCAATTGTTCATATTTGGGTAGATTGTAACCTCGTTTTATTTCATCGAAAAACTTCGAATTTGTATATAATATTATTTCATCGAAAAATATATAATTGAAAAGATGAAAGAGAAAAATGCATTTCTTTAAAATGGAGACATACGGGTACTTAATATAGAAGACATCTTACAAAAATTTGTTGTCCAATTTTTACAATTCAATTTGTCGTTCATCCAATTAATTATTGATAAGTCATTTTTAAATTAACATGTCAACTCCAATTTATCCTCGTTAACTTTATCGTTAACACACTATATTGATGACATGTTAATTTAAAGTGACGTATCTATAATTAATGAGATGCATTATGTACAAAACTAACAGTGGTTTAGGGCATGTTTGTTTTTTATTCTCAATTTTTACAGTAAATCAATTCTCATTTTCAATCATACATTTTTCAATAAAATAATATTTTTCATCACATCAATAATTTTTTCTTCTTTTTCAACCACACATTTCCCATCATATCATTATTTAAAAATTAATTATTCCCTCAAAAATTCATACCAAACAAGCACTTAATCTTAAAAGATATTGAAGGATAAGGGGAATGGAAAATATCGGATAAGATTCTTCTGTATCATCATCTTCTTCTTTCACCGTTTCCCCTCCTCCTCCAAACCCAGAAACTGCAAAAAAGATTGAGAAAAATTTCTTTTCAAGAAATTCTGAATAATTCTTGGTAGACATGTTAGCTTCAACGTCTCTAAATGTAGGCTCTCTGGGTGGCCTGATAATGAATGCACCCACATCCAATTCACACAAATCTTTCTTACTCAATGCAGCAAAATCATTCCCTTCGTTAACTTTCCCCTCAAAATTCAGCGGCGCCACCGCCTGGAAATCAGCCACCCCTGTAAAAACAGCCGTAGCTGCGGTGGATTCCTCTGATCCCACTGAAAAGGTCAGCTTCTTGTTTCTCATTTCCCATTTATATATCAAACCATAACCATTATAACTGTCAGCAACGTTACTAGATTTTTCTCAACCATATCAAATGAGTACGGGATAAGGTTTTATTGAGTTGAGTTCAGGTCAATATTGGGTTTGATTGTGAGAGTAGCATTGTTTGGGTAATTTTGAGTGATGTTCCTAAACATATTCTAATAAGTCGGTGTTATCTCGTAAGTATAAAATTACTAATTTTGACAATATGATGGAAGTAGACTCACTTATATCTTAATTTTTTAAGCTTAGACAAACATGCACATTTGCACATGGTAATTCTTGAATTTTTTTTAGCAGGAACAGGAGCAAGCTGAGAAGAAGAAGTATTATTTTGTTGTAGCGAATGCGAAATTCATGTTGGACGAGGAAGAGCATTTCAAGGAGCTAATGTTTGAGCGCCTTCGGAATTACGGAGAACGTAACATAGAGCAGGATTTCTGGCTTGTGATAGAACCCAAGTTCTTGGATAAGTTTCCCGACATTACCAAGAGACTAAAGAGGCCTGCTGTGGCCCTTGTTTCTACCAATGGCCCCTGGATAACGTGAGAACACATATTCAAAACTTAAGCGATTATTCATTTATTTTTTATTAAAATGTTTGGTTTAAACCTAATTGCTCGATTTCAATATGTGGTACTTGGAAGGATAATTTTGCTAATCATTCTTTTTAGAACTCCACCTAAGCTTTCCAAAGCATGGCCTAGGTTGACTGTTAGGAATTAGCATATAACTTGATCAAATCTTACTATATGAGTCCCTATACATATTTTGTTGCAGGTGTTCCCCTCAACCTCGATCAACACGTTGCTAAGAATCTAGTTGCTTTGGATCTTCTAGTTGTTGTTTCACAACACTTTTTTTTAGATGCCTCTTTCTTGAACTTATAAAGGCCTTGCTATATGTACACCACCAAAGATGACCATAATGCCACACTGTTACCTTTGTCCTAATAATACTTGCAAAAAACTGTTGAAATGAGTGTGCCTACTTTAAATGATTCCACCTCTGAATAATTAGAATCATTCTAAATCCTTGGGTGTTTTGCATATGGATAGGTACATGAAACTAAGACTCGACCGGGTTTTGCAAGAAAGCTATGAAGCTGACAGCATAGAAGAAGCTTTAGCTTCTAATCCCGTTGATATTGCCTTTGAAAAGCCAGAGAAGTGGACGGCTCCATACCCTAAGTATGAATTTGGGTGGTGGGAGTCGTTTCTACCCTCCAAGACATCAAAGGTATGAAGCAATATTCCTGTAGAATTTCCGTAAGTGTGTGACAGTAACTTGCAATTCCGAAACTTTGTCGCAGTTGTTTGTTGGTAGCTAATTAATATCAGAAACTTCTGAATTTTAAGAGATGGTTTGTAGATTCTACTCTTAAGGCTGCAGGAAAAGGCATATATTGTATGAATTATATTGAGTGGCTTTATGTAGAGAAACCCTTGCAGTTTTATCTACTAATACCTTGTTGAGGTTATTGAGGTTGAGAAGATTGAGCTGAATAGTAGAATTTTCAATTTTCTTGTTCGGACATGACAAGCAAAGTAAAATGACTTGGACCGTCTAAGGACTATAATACCTTGTTGAGGTTATTGAGGTTGAGAAGATTGAGCTGAATAGTAGAATTTTCAATTTTCTCGTTCAGACATGACAAGCGAAGTAAAATGACTTGGACCGTCTAAGGACTTGTTTATATGTAAAATTTGGAGAAACAACTTGTCAAAAAGAGACTGAATTGTTTAGTTCGTATCAAACAACCCCTAAGGCAGCAGATCCAATAGAGTAATTCCAAGGCTCTGTACAAAAACATAAACAAGATTCCATCACTTGACATCTCTTCACGATATATTTCAATGAGACAATTCTGGATGATTTGGTATTCTAATCTTGTCTCAGCTTGATTAATAGAAACTCCTCCCGCCCAGCTCTTCCAGGGATGAAAATAAAATGTCATACCTGAGAATTTACAAAAAAAAAAAATTCGATCTCTTAATCAGAAGTGAGAATTTCTTTCATAGACCATACTGGAATATCAGGGTTTCGTAGAACTCCAATGCACAATACTAAATCAGTGAAATCATGCTTAGTTTATGGTGTAAGGAATGATAGATTGATTATTTGCAATTACGATAACGTTTGAAGAATGTATATGGGGAAAAAACCCAAAAAGAAAACCAAGTCATGACCTGAGTTAAGAGAATGAAAATTGCAGTTGGTTGTTGCAACTGTATTGAAACATTAAAGCACTTTAACTAAGGTAGAATAATACTTTGTAGTATTTCTAGCATCAGAAAATAAAGCTGATAAATCCTTGTGCATAACTTTTAATCCTTATTGGTGCTTCTTATTGTCTGTGGACCGTGATGAAAGGAACTTTGGGTAATTTCTGAAGGACCTGTTCATCCAATGTGCTGTATTGTCTCTTGAGTTTGGCTGTTGCCTTCTGTGCATAAGATCAACTCTGTCTTCATGCTTTTCATACAACAATGGCATCGTCAAGAGCATCATAAATACTGCCAGCATAGACATACAAGGCACTGTTAAAAATACGCTAAAGATGCAAACTTGTGCATTTTTTTGTTTGCCTTCTATTGTCTCCTCCTCCTCTTCCTCGTCCCCTTTCTTTCCTCGACCCCCAATTCTTCTATACAAGGCACTGTCTACATCTTCGTCTCCTAGCATGTTCTACTCAATAAAATTTCTGTTAGTTCTAACTAATTCATACCATATATATGCAAGACAAGTTCTAACTATTTAACTCGTTCTTCGCTAAATGTATCTTCATTCGGTGCTAACTCTTCTTGTTGATGTTTACTTTTATTTCTTACTTTATCTAATCTAGTATAACCACACATCCTTGGTATCAGCCTCATTTATGTTAAATTCATTTTATAGACATTTTCACCTTGTATCATAAAAGTTCGATATGACAGTGGGGCATGGGAGTGTAACCCAGATCCAGTAGGAAATCCCTGTACATATCTTAAGAAATATCAAATGTGTTAAGAGCTCATTAGGTGAAGAAAGTTCATACAGAAATTTCTTCAAGCGAAAGATACCAAATGCCTGGTTACATCTATCCCTCAATAAGAGAGCAATATTCATGCACAAGTCCTCTGGTAATACAATCTGTGGAAAGTTCGAAGCCGATCTATCCGCAGAACCGAGTAGACAATACAGTAGTACGCATCAATCTAGCAATGAATAGAACAAAATGGAGAAAAAGAAACTGTATAGTCACATCCTATACATAGTGCAAAGTAGACAAAAACAGTAGTATGTTCACTATGTAGCTATGAACAGCGCAGAATGAAGAAAAATGATTCATGTAACCTCGACCTATAAATAGTACATAGAATGAGTGCAATGTAACAATGAACTACATATAATGGTTAAAGAGAATTCATGGAGTCGATCTCAAACTTGTTAGAAACTGAACTGAACAACAGATTGATGGAAGATACTCACCGGTTAACAGAGTAGGACAAGTTGGACCATAAGAAGAGAGTAGCCAAAGACAGAATAAGAGAATGACAGAGAAAATTTATCAAATGATAGCCTATCCATTCAAACAGAAGCCATATAACAGTTGCATCAGCAAGCAAACCTCCAGACATCTGCTTGTTCCTCCAAATTACAACGTCCGCAGCTGCACAAATAACCATGACCCACATTTTTATTCGAATTTATTTCAAGTCTAGAATGAAATTTTTTGAATTTCAGATATCGTCTAGGTTTGTAACTTGTAAGCAATACATAGTAACCAGAAGATAAAAGTCAATGTTAACCTCAACACTACTGGCATATGGTGGACTTCTAACCATAGTTATAAAACCTGACTTATATTACGACTATTTAGCTTAAGGCCGAATTAATTTTTTTCCCAACATATTCCTAAGTATATACATTTATATGTGTGTGTGTGCACGAATAGAAAATGAAGTAAATATTAACTTACGTTTGCCACCACTGAAAGCCTTGTGCATCTGTTTCTGGCGGCCGAAGAGATGAAACTTCTCCTGACGACTGACGTGTATGTTTATCATCGGTGGTGGACGAAGAGGGAGAAGAATAGTCATGGCCATTATTGAACCCGAATTCGTGAACCTTCCCATTACAGGATCCGACTACTTAATTCTTCCTGCACTGAAATTAAATCCAAGAAATATATCTAAATGGAAATTTCCAAGAAAATTTCACAGATGCATGAAATTTTTTATCATTCAGAATTCGCACATTTGCATGCAGTATCTTAAAGATCAAAGAAGAATTCACACACATAGAATAACTTGCACGAATCTTTCAGAAAATTGATGGGTTTTTGCCCCTTGAGATTTGGAGTAGCAGTTTGGTTTAGTTATTATTGAAGAAAAATCGATTTTTTTTATTATTATTTTTTGAACAAGACATTATCACACTGGATAGCTGAATAATTCAAAGAGCCTAAGGGATACCAGCAAATTCTGGTACCCAAAATCGCACGTCAACCAATTTTACAGGATTTTATTTTTACTCAACGAATTGTGACAGAGGAGAGCTTTGCCTGCAACTACTGATGACCGGTTTATCACCAACCTTAGTAGAGTTTTCACATACCACCATCGGAAAAATTGTAATAACCATAGTCGTGAGTCTATCAGTTGAAACCAGATTCAATCTTTCGATTGTGGTTCAATTGCTAGTCATCATATGAAGTTTAAGTTTTTCTTCTTAGCTTTGATGATAATGGTCATATGACAATTAACGAAGATGATTCTTAAAGATTGACAACCAACTCACTATCGGAACAAGAAGTTGAAGATCAATGGTGCAAATTTTCAAACTCTTTGACTAGGAACAAAACTAACTTCATCAAAATAAGTACTTTTGTATTGCAGACATCTTGTACAATGTAACTACAATATAAATAAGTACTTTTACACGACATCTTGTACATGGTAACTACTATCAAAATAAGTCCTTTTACAACTTCTTCAAATATAAGTAAACACCATTCCCAGGCTCTATCACCAAATTCAAAGCAGGAGAGTGAATGTAAGTTGGTGAAAGACTGAAACTGAAGTTAGACAAAATTAGGGCAATAAGCACTTTGAGTTCAACCAATGCCAAATTCTGTCCCAGACAAACCCTGGGGCCAACCCCAAATGGCATGTACAAATGTGGAAGTTTGCATGCACCTGTGATCCCATTTGCAAACCTATCCGGGTTGAAATCGTATGAGTCGGGGCCCCATATTTCTGGATCCGTATGCAGTGTTAAGACAAAGGTCCAGATATTTACTCCTTTAGGAACATTAACGTTGCCAAATTTCATGTCCTTGAAGGCTTCCCTTGAGACAACTGTCACTGGAGGGTAAAGGCGTAATGATTCATTGATCACCATTGTTAGCTGTGTATTTACACAAAAAAAAATTGCAGTCAATGTATGATGATGTACGTAGTTATCAGTTTAAACAAAATTTGTCTAGTCTATATTTCAATCAAACTGTTACATGTCTGATATGTGATATCTTTTCAAATCGTATGTGTGTCAATTATGTCTATATTTTTCTCACATAACTAAAAGAGCGGAAAAAGGAAGGGAAGTAGCGGAAAAGAAAAAGAACTTACGCCACCGCCCCTACACTCAAAACCCTTTGGATTCGAGAATCAAGGACCTTGGAAATGGGGGAAATGCGTATTGTTTTTTATTCTCAAATTCTACATTAAATCAATTCTCATTTTCAATCACGCATTTTTCAATAAAATAATATTTTCCATCACATCAATAATTTTTTCTTCATTTTCAACTACACTACACATTTCCCATCATATCAATATTCAAAAATCAATTCTTCTCCCAAAAATCCCTACCAAACAAGCACTTAAATAATTTTCTAAAAGCATTTTGTCTTATTAGAACATTTTTTAGAGAAAGCCAGCTTAAGGTAACTTATTCAAGAAGCTCTTGGACAAGAAGCAGAAGCCATAACAAATGAGTGCTTAATAATGTGAATAAGTTTGGCTGGAAATGGTCGATGGAACTACCCCTCAAAAAACCAAGTTTTAAGAATCATAGTAGCCCAACAAATTAGCTATTGTGGCATTGGTTCTCATTCGTTTAGAAAATTAAGAAGCACGCCAAGAAAAAAAAAATAAGTCGACAATGCATACTAACCAGTTTCATCTTTCGGACCATATCAGAATCGGGGATTTGGCCCTTGCAAATTTCGACAACCTCTGCTCGAACTCGTTCCTGCCATACCGGATTCGAGGCCAAGAGCATGAGACACCATGTAGCTGAAACAGCAGTAGTCTCATATCCAGCCAAGTAAATGTTTTTGCAGTTATCAACAATGAATCGATCAAGAACATCTGGGCTTAATTCACTGTTTTTTGCCCCTTCAAGAAGCATTTGCAATAAGTCCTTTTCGAACCCGGCTTCCTTTCTTTCTTTTACTACCTTCAAAATTAAGGTATGGATGTCCTTTTCTAGTGCCCATGTCTCTCTGTTGCTCTTTGTAGGAAGATATCTATAACATAGGACTTTGTTACTTCCATGTTTTCCACATCAAAAGTTATGTTTGTACTATTCAAATCCTAGTTCGTTGGTTGGGATCGGGTATTTCGGAAACACTACAATTAACTTCCCATTTATATACAAAGCTCGATGACAATTTGATATAGATTTTTAGCAAATAAAATTGATAAAAGTTACTGTTCGCGGGGTTTATAATTCTCAACAAAAAGAACTATCCACGATGGTTTATATAGGTTATTTTGACCGTTCGTGAAAAATCTACGTCGCACAATTTTTTCAAATTAGAAAAAGTAAAAAAATATACCTCATCCCAGGAATGCCAGTAGCCAAAACTTTTTTGGAAGCAGCTTCTTGGAGGGCTCTAAGCTTGAAGAAGATCTCCTCTCCTTTTGAATAATTGCTCCCAAAACACGCTTTTGATATTACATCTCCTGAAAAACTTCTCATGTATTGATCAATTTTTATGTCTGCAATTCCACCCTCTGCCTCGATTATTTTCTTCCACGAGTTTACCAATGTAACTGTAGACTCTGTAACTATGTTCATCATTCCCTGCACTCAAAAAGTTAGTATATTAATTGATAAATCTCATATCGATGAAAAATTTCAGTAAGAAATTTGTACCTTGACTTTCTCCATGTACAATTCGGGTGCAATAATTTTGCGTTGGTGCGCCCAATAAGACCCATTGGACGTTAAAATGCCTTGGCCGAGCAACGAACCGCGCTCTTTGGCTTGATAGGAAGGCTTTCCCAAGTCCAAGGATGTGCATGTCGTAAATTCTCGTACCATGTCCGGTTGAGTTACATGCAGAATTTGTGTGGTGCCAAGGGAGAACATGAAAACTTCGCCTAAAGAGTAATTTTTTGATGAGTCGTGAGAGGTTGGTTCATTAAAAATGAAACCCAGCCATTGCTGATTTACTGATTTAATAATTAAAAACTTCACCTATAGAGTATTAATTAAGTTTCTGATTTACTGCAACACCTATACTAAATCGGGCAAGAGTTTACAGTAATTTACCATATTTCCTCTGCCATTGCTCAAAGAAGGGAAAGAGAGCGTTAGCACAGTCATGTTTGGCCGGAGCACCACACATCGGAGCTTTTGCGGTTCGGGATCGCTTAATCTCCAAGATGTTCCCCAGTATCGGTATTGGAGATGGCCCGCTTATTCCTTGCTTCTCAAGAATCGACTTCAATTTCTTCGGTTTAATAATCAATGCATCGTATAAACGCACGAACAATCCCACGATGAGAATCAGAACTAAGGATACAAAAACTTTGATTAGGTTTTGAACTTCCATGGCCGCTTAGCACAATTGTGTTTTTTTCTCTCTGTGTTGCTCAAAGTGTGTAGGTAGGCTTGCTTATATAGAGCGCGTTTGAGCCTAATTTTTTTTTTGTCCAAAATGCATTTTGGAATAATATTTTGATAGAAAATTTGTAGTTGAAAAATAAGAAAAAATTTAGACTTACTGTAATATTATTTTTTTGAAAAATGTGCAGTTAAAAATAATAGAAAAAATATATTTGAAAATAATGGAAACCAAACATCAAATTAATTTTTCGGGAAAATCCATTTGTACAATTTTGTGTACATTAACTTTAACACTCCTCTCACAAAAGAGTGTGGGGCCCATGTTTTTTTAAATTGCTGGCTCCCCACCTTTATGAGAGAAATGTCATGCATATGTACACCAAAGAGTGTACATTAAGCATGACTCTAATTTTTCATCATTAAAAAATAAGTCAATCATTTTCATGGAATGGAATATTAATTGAAATTAATGCAATTGCAGTGTGGACATTGGAACTTGAACGGTCGCATGTGAATGAAATGAAGAAAATAAGGAAAATTATCAGAGTAATTCTATTTAGTCTTATCGGGATTACAATCTCGATTCATGTGACTTTAATATGACATTAAATAATATGTGAAATTAAATAAACCATTTAATTCCACATTTTATGTAAAGAAAAATACTATTCATCTCCTCAGTGGGGATGCATCCCCAGTCTATGTGGATGTAAATGATTGGTTAAATGATATGTGAAATTAAATGACTTATTTAGTTTCACATATCATTTAATGCCACAATAACGTCACATAGACTGTGGATGCATCCCCAATGAGGATGAATAACATTTCTCTTATGTAAATTATCATCTAGCTCCATCTAAATTAAAATTGTAACCCGAGTGTGGCTCCATAGAATTACTCAAAATATTTAGTCCGTGTTTGGTGGATTTTAATTTATTTCTTTTACTCATTTTCAACCACACAGTTATACAATAAAATATTTTATACGTAAATTCAAAACTTTTTTCATATTTTTTAACCACATATTCTCTGAAAATACCGTTCAAAACATAATTTTTTTAAGTTTAAAGGCCCTTCAAACAAGGCGCTTAGGTTGTGTTTCATACACCTTATTTATAAATTAAATAGACATATAGGTGATAATACGATGGATTAAGGTAAATTCCATGAAGTGGTAAGTGAAGCACGAGCACCCGAATTCGTATCAAAAAAGTTTTTAACCTTGTCAGTATTCCTTCGTGAACGTCATTCAAAATATTTATTTGATATTTAATTAGAAAGAATGTTCTACGATTAGACTCATTTTCACGGTTGTTAGTACAAACGACGCTCTTTTGAATGAAAAATTAAACAATACTACGACCCAATACTATCTATTAATAAACTTACTTATAAGCAGATTTTTAAACTTAGCCACCAAACATGCACATAACTCAATTAAGGTCATAGGACACTACATGAATTTGGTATCAATCCATTCCGAAGTTTTAATGCTAAAGTTTGAAAAAGAAGTAATTTTATTTATTATATTATTTGATTTGATTTAATATTAGTATTTGAAAATTAAGTCAAGTTTGTTAATCAATGTAAGTTGGTCATTCTTGAACAAGTTGTCTTTTTCATACCATGAATCAAGACAAACATGAATTTCTTGGTCGAAGTCTTTTGCCCGACTTTACCTCCATTTGTATCTTTGGTGTTATCGATCGACTTTTCTTGAAGTCATTTCACACGCATGGACGACCTTAGCCAAATTTCGTGGTATTTTTACTAATTTTGCGTCGAAGATATAAATTAAATAAAAAATTTCTTCTTTTTGAATTTTTAAAAGTCGGCGTTCAAAGTGCGACGGACTTAAAGCATGTATCGATATTGATTTTATTTCTTTTTTTTTTATTTAATGTTATTTGTTGACCTTTCTTTAAGTCATTTCACACAGACATGCATGGATGACCTTAGCCAGATTACATGGTATTTTTACTATTTCGTGTTGAAGATATTCTTCTTTTTGAGTTTTAAAAGTGGTGGTTCTAAGTAAAGGTCTTGAAGCATATGTCGAAATTGATTTAACCACTATTTTTTTTCTTTGATGTTATTTATTGACATTTCTTTCAGTCATTTCACACAGACATGCATGGATGATCTTCTTCAAATTTCATGATATTCATACTATTTTGCAGTGAAGATATAAATCAAATAAATATTGTTTTTAATTCTCTAAATTTTTCGAAGTCGTGGTTCAACGTAAAGGTGTTGGAGCATATAAAGATATTGAGTTTAAGTATCGTCTATTTAAATTAAATTCTATGTGTCACGTGTTTAACGAAAAACATAAAAGACACATATGTACGTGAGAAGAACTATTAAATATAAACATAAATAAATAAATAAAATTCTCTAATAATTTTTAAGCAATATTGTTCGATGTAACAAAAGTACTTAGGAATAGATTAGAAAAAAACCATTATAAACGTGTGTGGTATTCAGTATTCGTCGCTGTTTTATCAGTATTATTAAAATATCATATAAATACATCACCAATGTTTAGATTCATGTGAATGCATGGAAATCTGAATGCAAAAATATGAAAAAGAATAAGAAAAGAAGTCTCGATACTAGAAATATGTGACATGAATTGGTTGCTAAGATCGAAATCGAAACATATTATACTTGGTTATGTTATAGAATTGGTATTTTTTGGGTCAAAGGTTTTGTCCCATGATTTGCTTGTTGAAAGAGTGAACATTAAAAAAAATTATAAAGTTAATCGAAATCCTTAAATTATTAACCATTTGCTCTTATAATGGCCCCGTTCGGGAGGGATTAAAAGTCAATTAAAATTGAAAATATGGCCGTTATTGGACCCCACTCGTCTAATAAAAGTCAACAATAACGGCTATATTTTCAATTTTAATCTGATTTTAATCCCTCCCACACAAGCCCAATATTTTTTTCTAAAATTCTCTACGTACATATATTTTAAGACAGTAAAATTGTAGGGTATTGATGAACTGCACAAACTATACAAAACCCACCCACTATTTATATACAAATAGAGAGTTTGTGTAGT